TCCAGTCTGGCCCCGTCCCCACTCCCTCTCCTGACAGCCCAGGGGACACATTCCTGTGCCCCTCCCTTCACCGCCATGGGCGGTCTCGAAGGACCTGGGGGGCCGCAGATGGCCAGCAGACTCAACGCCTCAAGCTGGGAGCAGGGCCTCCTGTCCTGAGGACATCTAGGACACTGGCAGCGTCGCTGTTGGGTGTCCATCCAGGCACAACTCTTCTTACCTCCCTGATTTCTCCACCTTTTGTGGTGTCACCTATGAAGTTTGGTCAGAGAGGTGATGGCGCTGGCTGGGCAGCTGGCCTCTAGTGTGGGCGTCCAGTGAGCCCCTGGGGGTAGACAGCCCCTGAGCAGCTCTGGAGTGTTTGAATTCTGGACTTCAGCAGCTCCTGGGCGTCCTGTCTGCACCGGGGACATTCTGCCCCATGGAACCGTCTCTGTATCTCAGCCTTAGTTCATGCCAACAGTTTATGCTAACAGTGGGACACGTGGTGGGGACCTTGGTGTGGCTAGATGCCTGTGACCTCCAGCCAGGCTGGAGGCTGGGTGACTGATGTCAGGTAGGCTGGTGCTCCAGGCATGTAAGAGCAAACCCCAATACCATCCCTGGACACCAGGGGTCAGTTGGGCTTCCCTGGCTGGCAATTCTCTGTACCTTGTCACACATTGTGTTGGGGGAATTCGGCACTGACCAATGGGAGAGGACACTGGAACCCTGTCGGGTATCGCTCAGGTCTCTGTCCTGTGGGCTTTTAATAGCGTTAATGTCTTCCTATCTGGTCTGTCATCTCTTGCTCCTGCACAGGATCCTGACATTGGGAGGACATTGACCATGAGTTTCTACAAGAGCCAAGCTGATGGTGGCACTACCTCCCCAAACTGTGGAACAGTAACTGAATAAAACAGTACAAATGCTGATTTCACAGTGACATGAAGGGCATTCTTTCCTTAAACAATGATTCTGATATTTAAAAGGGCAAAGCAAAACCCCACCACAATTTCTTCATGTTGCATTTGTGGATTAAAAGTAGCCTGTCTCTGGTATTTCATTACAGTAACAAAACAATGATTAACGCATATGCTATGGTTTACATGATCCTTCAAAACCTACACTGAAATTTAATTGCTGGGGTAAGCGTATTAAGAGGGGACCTTTCAGAGTGACTGCATCACAGGACTTTGTCATGGTTGGATCACCATTACTGCAGGAGTGGGCTAGTTTTTATAGGACTAGGTTTGTTATAAAATCAAGTACGGCCCACTTTCTCTCTGCCTCAGATGCTCACTTGCCCTTCACCATGTTAGGCTCAGCATGAAGGCCCTCCCACAATCAGCTCCTTGCTCTGGGACCACCCATCTTCCAGAACCATGAGCTGAACAAAGGGCTATTGCTGATAAGTTACCCAGTCTCTGCTACTTTGCTACCAAAGCAGAAAATGGATTCATACAGGAGAATCCATGGATTAACTATTTGTCAACAACCTGATAGATGGAACAAGGAGACAGAAGTAGTAATTAACAACCCCCAAAGGGAAGTGACTTCAACAGGACGGTGGGGCAGAGAACCTGGGGATGGGCCCCTCCACTGATATAACCAGTAGACTGCAAAAGACGATCAGCATCCACCATTTCAGAAGTCGGCCTCCTGCTGGTCAGGACAGCAACCAAGGCAGCTCTGATAAAGGCAGAGGCTGTGGCTCTTTGCTAAGGGCAAAGTCTGTGCAAACACACCCAGTCCCCTGTTCTCGTGCAGAGAATGGTCTTGGACCACATGGCTGGTACCAGGATGGGTGAAGACCTTGCCCTCCACAAACGTGAGGCTGTGCTCCGGCAGGATGGTAGACACTGAAGGACCCACAGACCTCTGCCTGGGCTGGGGAGCTCCCGGCTCTAGTAGTTCTTTCCCAGTAACACCCATCAGGAGAGTCAGAGGTAGTAGTAGCTCGTTTTCCCTCTTAGGAGCCAGGCGTTTAAGGCCATCTTTGTGGGAAGGTGTGTGGCGCAGGCCTCGGTGCAGGAAAGGCCAGGTGCTGGCTGGTGTTCCTGTGCTGCTCCTCCTCGGCACCAACCACAGTGGGGCCAGGAGTGTGACCCTGGCCCACGGCTGCCTTCCCCCAGCTCCTCTCAACCCCTTGCCTGGCACTGCCAGCCTCACTGTGGGTGTGGCCAGAAAAGAAC